CCGAGAGCAGTGGGCCTTGACAAGTATAGGTTTCGGGTTTAGGGTTTAGGGATCAGGGTTTAGGGTTTAGGGTTTAGGGTTTAAGGTTTACGGTTCAGGGTTTAGGGTTTCGGGTTTAGGGTCTCATGAATCTCGATGAAGACCTGGTGATCACAGTTGGAATGGCTGGCCCTGCAGTCAGTCCGAATGCTGTAGGTTTCTGTTTAGTAGCCGAGCAAACATCCAACCCTAAACCCTAAACCCTAAACCCTAAACCCAAAGCCTCCGTGTCCTGTGAAGCGCCGCAAAGGTGGCGCACGAAGTCGGGGGTCCGAGTCGGTTCAGGTGAGGCCTGGCGAGGCTGCTGAGATTGAGGGGTTTAGGAGTTTAGGGTTTAGGGTTTAGGGTTTAGGGTTTAGAGTTTAGGGTTTAGGGTTTAGGGTTTACGGTGTGGGATTCAGGGTTATAAGCTATAAGCCGCCCACGTAGAGGTGCACGAGTACGGCTTGGAAGTCAGGTGGTAGGACTTAGGGTTGGGGTAAACCCTAAACCCTAAACCCCTAAACCCAAATAAACCCTAAACCCTAATAAACCCTAAACCCTAAACCCTAAACCCTAAACCCAAATAAACCCTAAACCCTAATAAACCCTGAACCCTAACGGACCCTGGTGGGCCCCTGGACCCTGGGCTAGGAGCCCCAGTAAGCGGTCTTATTACGGTTTTGTGTTTAGGGCTCCTGCTTGAGATGGAAGGGTTCTTAATTCAGGGTTGGGGGTTTGTAAGGGGGTTTTAGGGTTCAGTTTAGGGCTTTGGCATTTGGACTTGGGCCAGTCAACTCCCTCGATAAGTGAGGTTTCCTTATTAGAACTAGAAGATTGCCGTAAGCACGTGGGGACTCTTGCTGAGTTTGACAAGAGTACGGAAGGATTTATGTTACTATTGAGACCCTAAACCGTAAACCCTAAACTCCACACCCAAAGCCCTCATATAGTCGAACCTTTGTAGAAGGTTTTTAAAGGAACACCCGAAACCCTCATGTATTAGAACCCTTATAGCACTCCTGATTCCTGAAACGGCACCCACACCCTAAACCTCTGAACCCTAAACCCAAGGACCCTTAATGGGACCCTAATTTAGAGAACTAGCCATATAGAACCCTTGTAGACCCTGATTGAAACCTTAGGGGAACCCTTACAGATCCCTTTAAGGAAGCCGACAAAGGGACCCTCTCATACTATATACATTGAAAAAGCACCAACCCTGGCATACTACAGAAGCCTAAATAATTACCAATATATATATATATATATATATATTACCGTTAGGGTTCCTTATCATATTTACAGTCTAATATACCCCAAAACCCTATTCTAATTATTAAGGCACAAACCCTAAACCCTTTTAGCATCCCTTTAAAGGAGCCCTATTCTAATTATGAAGGCCGCTCCCTGCATTACATGGTAAAGGCCGCCGCAAGCCCTGGAGAAGAATCAGACCTGAGGGGCCTTCTTCTCCCGAAGCCCCTTAGGGCCTTAGGGGTCTAGGGGTTTAGGGCCTTAGGGTTTAGGGTTTAGGGGTTTATTCGGGAGTTTGGGGGTTGGGGGGGTCTATTGGGGTTTGGGGCTTTATTGGGGTTTATTGTTAATAAACAGAATAGGGTTTTGGGGTACATTCTACTATAACTATAACAAGGACCCCCCGCCCCTTAAAGTAGTATTGTCAATTATTTAGGCTCCTATAGCACCTGTAATCTCCATTGTAGTTCCCTTTTGGGGATACCTTATAAAAATCCTTAACATATAACTGGTTAAACCAAACAAAAGGAACTACCATGGAGACTATAGGCCTAAAACCTAAACCCTTATAGTAGCCCTTATAGAACCCTTTCAGGAACCCTAAACCCTAAACCCCTAAACCCTAAACCCTAAACCCCTAAATTCCCACCCGGCCTGCTTAGGCCGTA